CACTATCATGACCCCAATTTTATCTTACAAAATCTGGCTAGAGCAGAACATGTATACTAGTAAAGATAGGAGCTCTCAACACAGGGAATCCAGAACAGATAACTCCCTCAGGACAATAAGGGGTACAGCAATACTAGGAGGGTAAGGGAAGTGGGGAGTAAAGGGAAACTGATCACAGTAATCCATGTATGGCCTCCCCCTCCCAGGGGGACAGACAGCAGAAAAGTGGGCAAAAGGAGACAGCAGTTGGTGTAAGACATGAAAAACAAAAGAATAACATAAATTATCAAGGGGACATGGGGGAGGGAGGGTGGGAGAAGGAGGGGAAAAAATGAGGAGCCGATGCCAAGAGTTCAAGTAGAAAGAAAATATTTTGAAAAAGATGATGACAACATATGTACAGATGTGTTTGACACTATGGATATTTGTAAGGATTGTGATAAGAGCTGGAAGAGCCCCCAATAAAACAAAACCATAAAACAACAACAACCCCAAACATCCCATTGTGGTTTTTCTGTTACAGGAGCACTAGGTAACTAAAACACATGCTAATCAAGAAAGACACACAAATTATATAAAGAAACATCCGTGCAGTAAATGTGCATAATTCGGAAGGGCTTGCATGTTGGTCCCGTTGTAGGCAGTTACTTAACACGGGTGGGGGTGGAGGGGGAGAGATGTGAAATGGAGGGCACTTGGTCAGGCTAATATATGTGGAGGAGAGCCTCATTTCCCCTCCTCAGCCTCTTCTTAGATAGGTTTGTGTGCTCCCCTTGCCTGCCAGTCTGCCAGGTGGGTCTTCCCTGTTAGTGCCAGCCTGCTGCTTTATGTGACACTAGACTGATTTGATGACCTGTGACCCAGCTGTCCATCTGGTCACTCAAGAGCTGGCCTGGCTGTTGATCTCTTTTCTTGCTGTGACTGAATTTCCACTGCTCCGCTCAGCATCAGACTTGCAAACTACTTTGCTCCGACTGGTAAATGGATGGAAAGAGAGAGTGACCTCCTGCTGCCAGTTCCACCCTGTACCCGCTCCTCTTCCATCAGAACGCACCTGCTGCTTGCCCACTTCTGCTGGCTCGGTCGCGGCCTGTCCCACAGCTTGCCATGCGTGCGGCGCTCTGTGGCAGCAGGGACGGTTCATTTTGTACTTGGCAGCTGCTGAACTCAACTGGACACTGAGACCCAGGAAATATGACACCATCTGCTTCCTGCCATGTTCTGGCTCTGGTGCTTGATGCCAGGGCCTCAGTTGGTACCTGAGTGTGCCCAGGTCCTCTGAAGTGAGCCATTCAGGAAATGCCTCCGCTAACGCTTTCTTCACTAGCACCATTCCCGCGAGCCAGGCAGCCTGGCCGAGTTCTTTTTCCTCTGGTCTCTTAAGTCAAAATGCCTGCCTGCTTTCCAAGTGTTCCAAGGAAAATACATACACATAGATGTACCTGTGAACTCAGGCCACCATCTGTTTCTGGAGGTGGACATTTCAGCTATACAGGAGGAGTTTTTTGGTTTTAGTTTGGTGTTTTAAAAAATACCTTGGATCAGTTGCTAGCTGTCTTGGCTGCGTCCAAAGGGAGAGCAATATCCTTAACTTGCGGTTGAGGATTAGGTAGTCCAAGGGGAGGAGTAAGCAAACAAGGTCGTAGCTCATAGGGAAGACCCACTGGGCTTCCTCCTTGCTGGGAGCGTCTGATCTGTCTGGCTGCATTCAGGGAGATGGGAGAAACAGGAGCCCATTTCCCAGTGTTCCGGCCTCTGCAAATCTCCTCCCGCTTCGCTGAACCTATGACCTGGCCCTCTCTCGTTCCAACTCAGTGGTTGGAATCCCTTTGTGGATAGACCAATCAAGCCACCTGTGTGCAGTATTCAAAAAGAGACAACACACATAAACAACACTGCAGATCTGTTCATGAGTTTTTGGACTCAAAGCGTGCCATCTGGACTAGGGACAGCAGCTTCTGGAACCTATGTTGTTTCTTTCTTCTTCCTCATCATGCCGAGATGGTTCTGCTCAGCTATTTCTAGATCCTTAGATTGTGACTTTAAATCACAATCTTCATTGACAATGAAGATTTTGTTTCTCACTTGAATGTCTTGGTTCTTTGACGAATTATAGTGCTACAATTCCTGGTGGGGTCCCTGAGAAATGTCCTTTAATCACAAAAGAGTTTCCTAAATTAGTTGAGGCCTTTCAGTCTTAAAAGGAAGTAATGAGGAACATGAAAACGATTTGTTTCAGTTCTGCAGTTTGAGGATCAGAGTGTCATTACTTTTATATAGTGGAAGACTGAGAATTCCTGGGCTGTTTGAACATGCATGGGCATCACACCTCGGTCATTACCAATCAGAGCTACGAGTACCCCTAACCAGGCCGCAATACACAGAGCCCAGGGACCCTGACTCGGGCCAAATTGATAACAACCATATGCATCCAGGCCCACAGGCTCACACCATTATGATTGACACCTGTTGGTGTTCATGGGAAGAATCACTGTTGTCTCTCTGACCAGATGAGGTAAATCCTGACTTCTTCCTAGGACTATCCTCCGCCAGGGTATGATGGAGACATGTCTAAACTTAGCATGACTATGATTGCCAATTGTCCTATCAAATACCAGTCTCGTTGCCATTGTGAAGCAGTTGCTGTGTTATTGTGGGGCAGTTATATAGGACTAAATCTGTTGGCTTTAAGGACAGATTGTTTTCCATAATGTAATATAATTGCCTTCCCTGATGTAATTTAATGTAATGAAATCAATCAATCAGTTGAAGGCCTTAACAAGGAGAGAGTTTCACTAGGTTGTGTTATACTTCCAAATCAAGTATCTATTTATGTGTGTGTGTGTATGTATATATATATAGATAGATAGATAGAGATATAGATAGATATATAGATATATATATATATGATGATGATGATGGAACTCTGACCTTACTCTTCCCTTTGCCTGTTCTTTGGCACTTGGAGCACAAGACTGCAGGAGTTCCGGCCTATTGTTTGATGTATTGATTTTGAAATGGCCAGCTACCCACAATTCCACAAACCAAATAGGTGAAATAAACATCTATCTATCTATCTATCATCTATCTATCTATCTATCTATCTATCTATCTATCTATCTATCTATCTATCTATCTATCTGCTTACCTACCACCTACCTCACTGGTTCTGTTTCTTTAGTGAACCCAGACTACAACACAGGGCAATCTGTCTCTGTGTAGACTAGTGACAACGATGGTTTATACTCTGGGTCTACAGGTGACAAAGTTGGTTTATTTCTGTTTTAAACTCAGTGAGTTGTAAATGTGTGGAGTTTATCATCATACAAACTATGATTTGTTTAATTATTAACTTGTTGAGCCTATATTCTATTTTCTAAGATTTTAGCCCACTAGAGGAAAGAGAACTCTTCATCATTTTACTTATGACATAGGACATTAGTTTTTAGTAAGAACAAAATTAAAAATTAGAAAGTTGTCCTATAAAAAAAATCCACAAACTAGACAGATAGGGATCAGGTGCATGGAATTAGGGTGCTAAAAGCCTGATCTCTGACTTTGATAGTAATATTTAAATTTAAAAAAACATGGTGTCTCTTCATTCTTTCTTCTTTTCCTTCACTGGTACAGGACTTGTGGACCCCTTTCAAAGACCAAGAAGACTGATTTCCCATTCCCTTGGTTAAATGCTGGCTTAGACTTGGATTCAGGCATTACTCAGGCACCTGAAATGGAAGCCTTCTTGGCCAGGGCCCTGCAGCATGGAGGTGACTCTAGTGACAATGAGTGACAACTTCAGACATTTTAGAGGACTCCAAGTTTCCTCCAAAGTGTCTCCCATACACCGAGAGTAAAGTTAGAAGTCCCAAAATGGAGAACCATGAAGTGTTGCTGTGGTCGAACTAATTAAGTGGCAATTTTCTGATATCACCAGCCGGCTAGTCAAGGGAATAATTCTTCTCTCCATAGGTGAAGAATTTAGATGGATTGATGGCATTGGCTGAAATAAATCAGTGGATGAGTGATTACAGGATTTGAGTGTGGTTAAGTCAAGATTAATGCCACTAATTCCTGAGGCCGAAGGAGATGAATGTCACCCGTCAATGAACTTCAGCTCAAGGTGTGCCGGCTTCTAGCCAGCAGTTCAAATTCCTCGGGTACACTCAAGCACATACAGGATCCCAACCAGAATGCAGTGTTCCCATATGGCACTGTGAGGGCGAGAAGTAAACACCAGTGAGGATGGAGGGCTTGAGATACGGAGAATAAAACACTCAATGCCAGTGAGCTGCTTTTCACTAACATTCTCAAGTCACTGGGGGGCAATTTAGGCAGGAGCCTTAACGAGATCATTTACCTTTACCTACACCAGAACCATTATCTTAATTGCCACTCAGCCTTCATGAAAGTGTTTATGGGTAAACAGTTTTCACCAAGGGAGTTATTAACTACCCCCTGGATTACCATAGGATCAGGAATCATAAAAATAGTAGCAATTGTAGTCATAATAACCTATGTTGTTTAGTAAGTGTCCACTATAAATGTCTTAAATTGTCACCACCACTACCACTCTGAGCGGCTTTAGGGTGCTCGGCATAAAAACTGTTGGGTTTGGGGGATGGTTTTCCCTGGTTCTTGCTTCTCAACGCTGAAAGAATTCACGGAGCAGACGCGTGTTTACAAGCCCCAGTCTAACTGATGGGGGAAAGGAAGTTTGGGGTGATACAGTCTCGGACAGCACACTAGATCCCTGGAAAGCGAGCCAAGCTGTGAGTAAAGCTGCGCAAGTTCGCAACCAACAAAGGCCACTTCCGGGGAGTGCGAAAAACCAAGCTGAAAATGGCCATAAAGGACGGGCTACAAAACCAAAAAAGGAGCTCTGGGCGGAGATTCCGCCCTCTGTTTCTGCTCTTTATTCCTTCCTACCCTCCTTGGGGGATGTGGTTGAGGGTATTGGCCCTTCCTAGTGGCTGCATTTAAGTGCACGTATGACATCGTGTTGCTGATGTCTGTATACCCAAGTGGCTTTAATCTGTGCATGCACACCTTTAGGTCTCCCGACAGGTTTCTAACGTGTGTCTGGTGTCTTTCAAATACCTTTCTTTGTGGCATGGTTCATTTTCATGTAGCGTAGGGGTTTGGTGGCGACAATCCCTTTTCCCCTTAAACTTCCTGCCTGTCACACGCAGCTCATGTTATTAAAGAAGACAACACACGCATGGATGGGTAAGAGGGCCCTCCGCACTCATCGTGTCTGAATTCAATGGAAAGGTTACCATATTGAACGCCTCTGCCATTTATGTTTCAGACTGTTGGTGGACATAGGATTTTGCTAATCAAATATAATTTATATACATGTCCACGGTTAGGTAAAATTAGAGTTTGGAAAATAGTCTGAGTTCCACCCTCATCTTTATTTTTTGGCTACATTTAATTGTTTTTTTAAAGCAGATACTCAACACATACTGAAGAAATCTCACGAAGCTAAGTGAAGTTGGTCTGTGAAGATCTAGCTAAAATATTGTATGGGCTATATCCTCAGTTCCTAGCCACTTGCCCATCTAACACTAGAATTATTGTGAGCTGTGGGATGAAATGTCTGAATTCTTGGTTAACACACCTAGAAATGTTTCTCATATCGGTCCTTAGGCATCCAAAATTGATAGCCTCTTCCACGTGGACTAATAAACTTTTTCCTGCTTCCAAACTATTGCAATATGCTTTGTGTTTCTCCTTAGTTATTTGCAATGCCTGCAAAATAAAATTAAATCCCAGAGAGTGGCTTCTGAGGCACTCTGGGGTTCTCTCACAATTTCTTATACATATATCTCTCTGAATCAGCCATGTCTGACTTTTTAAACCTCCTCTGCCAATCAAGACAATGTAGATGCAGTATTTCTCAAAACTGAGTAAAAGGAAATCTTTTAATGAAACAAAACCCCCATGGATTTTCATAATGTGTACTTTTACTTTGAAAAGTACAAATATAAAACAAGGGATATGTTTCTTCAGAGATTCTACAGACTGAAAATGGCTTCTCTTGCTTGGACTATAGAGAACAAGATGGCTCTTCTTCAATAGAGGAGCTTTTTAAAGGTGTGTGAAGAACAACAGCAGATCCCTCTGTCTTCCCTCCTCATTTCATATTTCTTCAGCTGTTACTTACAGGAAATGACTTTAAATTCCCTCTCAATCAAATCACTTTTCAGATGAGATCAAGTTGGTTCCTCCCTATCTCAAAGTATACACAGTACTGCAAACAGACACATCATTCCCTTGATCTGTATGCCACACTTCCAAAATTGTTGCCTCCAATTTCAAAACAACAACAAAGAAAGCCCTTTTTCCCCTCATAGCCTCATCTTACATGATTGACTCAAGTTGAGCTTACTGTCCATAAAAGCCTATATCTTTTAAACATATGCATGATTATTCAACTACCTTGCCATCATTCGGTATTTTTGCAACTGCTCTGTTGAGCATAAGTGAAGGACTTCACATCATCCATTTAAATTTCAACTTGCTAATTACTCCAACATTCCAGCTTCTCACAGTTTGTGATGATCCTGATTCAGTATTTAAATCCATTAATTAATCTTCTCAAATTCAAATTTAATCTACCTTTCAATTGTGTAGCTGGTAAACATATTGTCCCACTACTTGTCTGTGAGTTTGTCATACTATGGTGGCTTGTAGGTTGCTGTGATGGCGGAAACTATGTCACTGATATTTCAAAAACCACCAGAGTCAATCAAGGTGAATAGATTTCATTGGCACTTCCAGACTAAGAACAGACTATGAAGAAGAATAAATTGCTCCTTCAGAGGGATAAGCCACGGAAAACTTTACAAATAGCAGCACACCATTGCCAGAAACCATGTTGGAAGATAAGTGCCTCAAATTGGAAGACACTCAAAGTACAATTGAGGAAGAGCCGCCTTTGCAAAGTAGAACCGACCATAATGACATGATTAGAGCTAAGCTTTCTGGACCTTCGGTTGCTGGTGGAGTGCTATTCAAAATAAGAAAAGGGAAAAAAAAAAAAAAAAGCCCTGAAAATGTCGGTTAACTAGAACATGGAATGTAGGAAGTGCAATCTGAGAAATTTGGGAGTTTTCAACAATGATATGAAACACATAAAGGTTTCTCTTTTTAAAAAAAATCATTTTATTAGGGGTTCATATAACTCTTATCACAATCCATACATACATCAATTGTGTAAAGCACATTTGTACATTCACTGCCCTCATTATTCTCAGAACATTTGCTCTCCACTTAAACCCCTGGCATCAGGTCCTCATTTTCCCCCCTCCCTCCTAAGCCCTTGATAATTTATAAATTATTAATTTGTCATATCTTGCCCTGTCTGACATCTCCCTTCACCCACTTTTCTGTTGTCCATCCCCCAGGGAGGAGGTCACACGTAGATCCTTGTAATTGGTTCCCCCCTTCCAACCCACTCTCCCTCTACGCTACCAGTATCACCACTCACACCGCTGTCCTGGAGGGATCATCTGCCCTGGATTCCCCGTGTTTCCAGTTCCTATCTGTGTAAAGGTTGCTCTTGTAGGCATTGTTATTATCAGATTTTTCCAAGTCAGTCCCAACTTATAGTGACCCTCTTCATAAGACACAAACTTCTACCCGGTCCAGCATCAACCTCACAATTGCTATGTTTGAGTCCATTTGTGCTGCCACTGTGCCAATCCACCTAGGCATTAATGAGCTTAAATGGTTTGGGACTGGCCATTTTGAACCAGCCAGTCATGCTTTACTATACCAGGATGATGCGACCAAGAGGAATGGTATCACATTCATCATTAAAAAAAACATGTCAAGGTCTATCTTGGATTCCAATAAAATCCAATCTGTACTCTAATAAGAAAATCCACCTAATACACCTACTATTCAAATTTATTTTGATAAATAAAATAAAGAATTATACCAACTTATTCGGTCTGAAATTGATTGAACACGAAAATAAGATGCATTGACAGTGACAAGAAATTGGAATAAGAAAATTGGAAACAAAGAGGAAGGAAGAGTGATTGGAAAATGTGGCCTTGGCAATAGAAACCAAGCTGGAGATCAATTTTTGCAAAACCAACCATTTTATTGCACATATTGATTTCCTATAACACAAGCAGTGACTATATATGTGGACTTGGCCAAATGGAATACACAGGAACCAGTCTTCCTACAGCTGTGGGAAGAGATGATGTGGGAGCCCCACAGCTACAATGAGGACAGGGGTTGGATGCAGAGCAGACCATCAATTGCTCCTATGTAAGTTGAGGTTAAAGTTGAAGAAAATGAGGACAAATATCGCAGGGCCAAAATATATCTTGAGTATTTCTATTTGAATTTCAAGAAAATCTGAAGAATAGGTTTGACACACTAAACACTAATGGCAAGAACTAATGGGCTATGAGATGTCATCAAGAACATCATTCATGAAGAAAGCAAACCATCATTAAAAAGATAGGAAAGGAAGAATAGATCAACGTGGATGTCGGGCAAATGGAAGAAATAATGAAGTTAAAGAATTGAACAGATAATTTCAAATTGCTGCTCAAGAAGAGTATTACAAAGTGCAGTATTATAATGAAATGTGCAAAAACCTGTAGCATGAAAGCTGAAAAAAAAAGGATGGATGTATTTAGCATATCGGAATACTGAGGAAACATTGAAGCTCTGAGCTGTTATATTGAAGGCGTTTCTAAGGAAAATATTGAACAATATAGGAGACATCAAAAGAAGTGGGATGGAATACAGTCACAGCACCACATCCAATCATTTTAAGAGGTAGAATATGACCAAGAACCATTGGTAATAAAGGAAGAAGTACAATCTATGCTGAAGGAATTAGCAAAAAACAAGGCTCCAGGAATTGACAGAACACTAATTGAACTTTTTTAACAAGCTGATGAAGCACTAGATGAACTCATTTCTATCTCTCTATGTAAAGAAATTTGGAAAACAGGTACCTGGCCAGCCAACTGGGAAAAATACAAATTTGTGCCAGTTCCAAAGAAGGGTGAATCAACAGAAGGTGAAAATTATCTAACAATATCACATGCAAGTAAGTATCCTTAATATCACATGCAAGTAAATTTTTGCTGAAGATATTTTAAAAATGGTTACAACAGTACATCAACAATAAGCTGTTAGACATTCAACCAGATTCAGAAGAGGATGTGGAGTACAAGATATCATTGCTGGCATCAGATGGAGCTTGGATGAAAGCAAAGAATACCAGAAAGATGTTTATTTGTTGACTTTTATTGACTATACAAAGACATCTGATTGTTTGGATCATAACAAACTGTGAATAATGTTGTAAAGAATGGAAGAATGGGAACTGCAGAACACTTCATTGTGTTCTTGCAGAACGTGTAGTTGAATCAAGAGGGAGTTGTACGAATGGAACGGGGGAGCCTTGCATGGTTTAAAATCCAGAAAGACGTGTCTCTGTGTAGTATCCTCTCATCATAATTTTTCAATCTGCATGCTGAGAAAACATTGGAGAACCTGTAAGAAGAATGGAGGA